GTTCTCTTACCTCAACCACTGCCAGTGGTGCTGAATTGGTATTTATCGTGTAAGAGCTCAAACTTTTCTGCAGTCACACTTCTACCCTGGGAAGGACTTCGCAGAACAGAGACGAGTTCTTCCAAAAAAGTCCAGATACTGGTTGTCCTGCCACTGGATGGTTACCCAGTTTGGTAAAGGACAGACTTTAAAATTAAAGGAAAGCCTTTAGATGTAGACCAAGTACCTCTTAGAGAGTGAATGGAAAGTTTGGCTCTGATGACTCCATCTCCAAGATTACTCTGGCCCGTGGTTTATTAAAAAAAAAAAATCGTGCTGTGGAAAAATTCAGATTTGAGTGCTTTATTATCCGGGTTTAAACTTGAGCTGGATTAAGGAGAGTTAGTGGCTCATAGCAGATCTCTAAGGAGTCTGAAAGTGCTGCTGGAAGTGCTGTAGACTGATCTTCTAGCAAAGCGCAAAATCCACCCAGTAAGAAGTAGTTTTGGTCATGGAATTCTTCCTGCTGCTTACTCCATGCCTTCCATGGTGCGGCACATACCTGTCAGAGATTAATGCTGTGAGAGGTAACTGGACAGGGATTCTTTCTGTCTTTTGCTTGTGCTGATCAGAGCTGAGGAGCTGATCCCTGTCCGAGCAGATAAGTGACCTGCATGTGCAGTGTCAGGTGTTGGCAGTGACGTTGCTCCAGGTGGCAGTTCGGGAGCCAAGAACGCAGTGGCCCTTTTAAGTAACCGCCAGCCTGAGTGTGTTGGTGTAATTTAATTAAGTTCAGAAATCTAGGATCTAAGGCAGCAGTATACAACTGAAGGTGCAAAGTGACAAGGACACTCTTGGAGCTCTGTGCTAATGACCCTGCTAACAAGTTTGAGCATGAGGGTGCCTTGGCTCTGCACTCCGAAAATAAGGACAGAGAGGGAGCCTGCTGTGATCTTATGGGTACTCCATGGAACAGCTCAGCCCTTTAACCTCCTGAACTGCAAAACGATCTGCACAAACATCTTGTTGGTTAGCGCAGTGCTCTGCCTCTAAAGCTCTGCCCCTGTGGGACGCTCACGTTGTGTGTCACTGCTCATTACTCAAATGGGATGTGACAGTCTCCTGCTGAAGCTCCTGGAAGACTTGCTGATGGTCGATGCAGGACATTTCCACTGTTCTTGCAAGAAGCAGTGTTTGTCTGCTGCATCACGAGGCTGCAGTAATTGTTCCTAAGCAACTGATGTGTCTGTGTGTGGCGGTGCAGCGGGGTCTGCCAGGGCACCCTAGTACATGCTGTAAGCACATGCTGTCCTTAGCTGACCTCAGTTTGGAGCTGCTGCCAAAGGCAAAGATGCTCAGCCCTTCTGAAAAGTAGTGGGTTTGCAGTAAAGTGCTGCCCTCTGACTGCAAACAACAGAGGGTTACTACTCTGTAAAGGTTAATATTCTTTTAATGCCAATTATGTAAACTTGGGTGTCTTGTGTCTTTCAGATTCCTCTTGTGGCACTTCCAGAATAAGCTGTAAAACCGAAGGCATTGCAGTGACTATCGGGAGTTAACCTTTTTTTTAAATGACCTAAGCTTAGACATCTAGGTCAATAAATGCTTTTAGAGTTGTTTAAAACGGGGTTTGACATTTGTGACCACTATGGGGTTATTTAAAAAAACAAAACAAACAAAAACAATAAAACCTCTTGCATCTAACACTTGAATGGGGCTAATCAGGGTCATTTCATAGTATCACAGAATGATTTGGGTTGGAACATCCCAGTTAAAGATCATCTAGTTCCAATCCCCCTTGCCATGGGCAGGGATGCCATTCAGTAGATCAGGTTGCTCAGGACCTCATCCCAACCTGGCTGTGGAACACTTCCAGGGATGGGTTCACTCTCTGAGCAACCTCTCTGGCCTTTTAAAGAAGCCTTTGTAGGAATTCTAGGACTTGAGAAATAAAACTGTAAGTAGAACAGAATTTTAGATTGTCCTGGAATTTTCCATATTTTTTTACCTGTTCATTGACTCCATGGTGTAGAATGGAAATAGAAGTGTGACAGCTAAAAGGAAATAGGGTTGGTCAAGGATTAAAAGCAAAGCTAAATTAAAAGCCCCACAAGTAACTGGCTTTATCATTTCAGTGCTATCCCTTTCATTTCTCTGAGAAGCAGAGTTTGGGCGTTGAGGAGATGGAATAAAGTCTGTAATGTCCAGAGAAAGAGAACTGTTTTGTGTCTTTATATTAAATGTTAACATTGTTAAATAAACTAAGATTTTTGTATCTCACAACCAGCTCTGTGTTGTAGTTCTCAGTCCTTTTCTTCGGCAACAGCTTCAGCCCTTGAGTTTCAGCACTCTCTTCTGTAACAAAAAACCTCCAGTGAAGCCATTTTCATCATTTACCCAGATGTGAGGATAAAAGGGTGGAATATTTGCAGAGCATGCCTGTGATAGAATTAGTCTGACACACCCCAAACTGAGGAACCTGGCCTTAGATTGCCAAGATCTTGGTCCTGCTGCAGCTTTTCCTGTTTCATGTCTCTGTGGGGTGGTGTTTTTGCCATGGGGCAACGTCAGCAAATTCAGGTTGTTCCCACTTCCCCCCAGTATTGAAAGTCTGATAACAAATTTCTGTTTTCCTTTGATTTGAAGTTGACTTGTGATTGTTTTTTGGGGGATATTGTAGTGCTGGTATATGAACAGTTTACTGGCTCTACACTCTTGGAATTGTATTGAGTGGTCCTGCCCTGCTTAGCACATTAGGATGTGATCTGGTTTCAAGGTACCTGTAATTATAACCACCCTTTGTTGAATATTCATTAGGAATGCCAGTCAAATGAGGGATGTCTTAATAGTGTTGTGAACCATAGCTGAATAAATGAGGTATTTAGCATGTTACACAACAAGACACTCTACAAGAATGTCTGTACTAGCCCCTACATATGCATATGTATATATGTGTTTATGTAAATATGTGCATGATTTTGTTAGGGATACAGAGCAACAAAGGAGGGTACTGAGTGATGTGTTGATTTTTGCACTGGGATTTGGAGAACCTTAGCATGGTAAAACTGTACCAGCACCATAGTTTAGGCAAAAGGCTCATTCCACTCTGACTCAGCAGTCACTGTTAAAACATACTGGTGGGTTTTTCTGTGTGTGTGTAAATCTGAGTTGCAGTGTGGTCTTTCTGTTCTTTTCCACACTAAACTGCAGACTGTTACATACCCTGGCATTTGGGCACAGTTAACCACAGGGCAGCTGGACTGTACACAGCTCCTCTCAGCACTCTCACTACATCTGAGCACTAGGAAGCTCCAAAGGGAGAATTTCTGTTGTACTAACGTGGAGCTCCAGGAACAGACATCTTGTCTTCCAGCCCAGTCAGTGGAGCAAAATTAATTTTGGTGAGGTGGAAACAAACCTGGATGAGCCCTGAAGGGTAGCACTGAGCAATGTCTTGTGTGAACTGATGAGTTTTATTTCCAATAAAACTTTGCATTTAGGCTATGTGTAAGTGTTGTGTACTTCATAAGCATTCATTGCTTTGAATGTTAAATACTCATTTTTGTCTGTCCTACCAAAAATAGTTAAATTCTTCAGTTCCTAACTTGGGTTTATTTTTCATTGTTTCTGCTACTTTTTGTTTTGTGGGGTTTTTTGTTTGCTTGTTTTGTGTTAATTTAGTCAATTTAAGGCTTGTCTATTTCTTAGTGATTTTTATTTCTATTTTATATTCTACTTCTAGTGGCTATAAATAGAGCAACTACTTGTTAATCACCCAGGTTTGTACCAACTTCTTCTAAACTATATGTTATGCCAAAATAAACAGTACAGATGTGGAGAAGTCATATCTGCTATGACCTTTTCAGTTTATGGACTTTGCTTTTGCAGGCCTTCAGAAATGACACGGAAGTAGGGTCTCTAATCTAACAAATCTTGGCTGCCCTGTAGGTTTGTCTCTCTGTTTTCTCTTTTCCCTGTCTGTTTTTATGCTCTTTGAGGTTTATTTTTGAGACCTTTACCCTGTGGGCTTCATGGGCTCAGAGGAAACATCAAATCATGTAAATTATGGAAGGTTCGTTTCCATAAGAAATGAGGCTGAAAAGTGGGGGAAAAAAATCTGTAAGGCATAGAACACTTTAAAAATAGGTAAAAGGTATAAAAAGCAGTAAAGCAAGGAAAGGAAGTTAGAACCCCCCCAAAGTATCTGTTTTAGAAGCAGAACATGGTATAAAAGTAAATATTTTTTCTGAGGATCACCTCTTACCAGGCTCAGTGTGCCCGTGTGTGGTCCTTGCCATGAATAGTTTTACCAGAGACAATTTCCATTAGCAGGCCAACACACGAGTGTCCATGAGCTGCTGAATGATAACCCAGTTATCTAGTTCACTGTATTAACAGGTTAATTTTTTTTAATTATTATTTTAATGACTGAATACAGGGTCGTGGTTAGGAACTCTTGTATGTAAAGCATGTTCAAACCATTGATTTCATTTTGCAATATAATCTTAAAGGTACCTTGGAAAATATAAGTGAGAAAAGATTTTATTGCAACAAGTTGGAAATTACATGAAAATATTTACTTCCCAAACTCTTGCAAAAAAGATAGCTGGCAATAGTACCTGTTAAATACTTGGTTCATAATTTTACTGTGAAAAAAACCTCATCTGATTCCCTTTTTCTTAGAACATGGTTTGTAAGGTGACTTGGATGCTGAGTTTGGTGGCATGCTACTGAGATCTTTGTAGAACTTGTTAACCATCTCTCCTTTTAAACCTAGTAACTATAAAGTGAAAAACTGAATTTACTCCTAAATTTGAAAAAATTATTTTGGCATATTTAAAAATTAAGCTGCATCCAGAAGAAGAAACTTCATGCTATAAGCAGAGCTTCCAAGGGTGGTACCTGTCGGTGGTGCTTGCCTTAGCTGAGGCTATAAAGGGCATGTTTGTGCCAGTTTGTGTCTGGAGCTTTCCTGTGGTTTAGCTCTGTTATTTATTCTCCTATATTGCAGATTCATTTAAAAAAAAAAAATCGGTAAAAGCTGCATAAAATCAAGGACAAATTGAATACCCCATGACTCATCCCTATATACTGTGTCTATCTGAAGAGGCAGCAGTAATCTCTGATACAAAGTAGGGGCGGTTGCCTAAAGTACCCTTTTACTTGTGTGTCTACAGAATTTTATGGTACTTTACTACTGCTTTTTCCAACCAAGGTAAACATTCGACAATCTACAGTGGGCCAGGATGCAGCAGAGCCTTCCCGACAGGAAGTGAGAGGTTACTTACCTGCACTCAGGTATTACTAAAACAATGCTGGTCCTACAGACTTTCAATTTTGGTGTAGGGTGCCTCTAGAATAGAGCTGTGGAGACTCTTCTAGGGAGTAGTGTAGCCTCTCTTCCTCTCAGAGATACATATATGGCAAGTAGGAATATGATGATGTCAATATAAGAGATCTTCAGCTCCTTTTTTGCAGGTGCCTTCTATGGGAAAAAATCCAATAAATTCAAACCTCGAAAGGACTGGGTATTTCTCTAAAATTAGTTTTGCATGCTGTTGTAATAAAGGTCAGCAAATGGCACTTATGGCTAAAGTGACAAAGTTTCAGTATTTTAACAGTCCTTCACATTCATATGGCTTAACTGAAAATGGTGGCAGATATTCCCAGAATCCCAATATGCACTTACAAAATTAGTATTTGAATACAAAGTGATAAGTTAATACTTCAAACATGAAATCTGAAAATGCAATTGAAAGGTGATGTGGAAGTCTATGTCAACAATTCTTTGAAAGCTTCATGTCTGCAGATGTTGAAAATAATTTTAATGTACTTCTGCCAGATTTCAGGATTTGATGTCTCAGGATATCCGAGGAAAGATTTCATCCCATATAAAAGCCACAAGTATTGTACCTGAAATGAGAAGATAGAGAAAGGACCTTTATTTAAATGTATTTGAGCAGGACACAGTACTGGTATTGAAAATAAACATTATGTTCAAGTATTTGCGTGTCTAACATGCAATACAGCACAGATTGCAGAAAAATTGAATTTTCTGTCAAAAGGGTTAGAGGCAGTCAGCACTTTTTCCAAACACAATTTTTTTTCACAAAGAAAGCTTCAACAACCATGCAAGTGGTCCTTATGAGTTCATAATCCTGTTTTTCTTAGTATATTTAATGTTTTAACTCTGCTCTGTATGTGCCAAGCCAAAGTCAGAGCAGTTTGACTAGGTGAATCCAACACATGCACCTTCCTGTTGCTGTATCGGGGCTCCTTTCTTTGTAGCTGGATGTATAAATGACTGAACCAGCAGCTTAACTTCCATTTCTCAGCTGAGTTTGTTAGCAGTGTCTGTTTTGGTGCTGCCAAATCATGCTGCTGATCATTTTTAGGTGCTGCCAAGTGGCTATAGGATAATGGGTGTTTTTTTTTGAAGATCATTCTGATTAAGGGTTTATTCTGAAGCAGAAAAAAAGTGAAGTTAGAGACTGTATTTTCTTCATGAGCATCATACAGTGTCTCAAGTTGGAAGGGGCCCATAAGGGCCATTGAGTCCAAAGGGCATCCAAATACAGTTTATTATGACCATTTTTTTTTTTCCTGGGAAAAAAATCAGCATATTCTCTTTCAGAAATGAAGAGGATCCTGGTTGACAGTGTTGCTCATACAGTGTAGCTTGTATTTTATGAAGCTTCTTAGATCACAAAAAAAAAAGCTTATTGGAAGGAATTCTCTCTAGTCCAGTCTCCCACTCGATGCAGGACTTTGCCTATGCTAGACGGGTCAGTGAGGCTTTCCCTAGCTGAGTCCCTAACACCTCCATGCACTGTAGCACTTCTCCAAATAACTAGTTTCAATGTTGCTTCTGAAGGTTTTCTTGAAGACTGATCTGAACTTCCCATGCCACAATTTGGGGCGTTGCTGTTACTTGTTGCCAACAAGAACAGTTAATCTCTGGCATCCTTTTATGTCAACTTTGGACATAAAAGTTGGCTGTTCTTAAAACATATTTTCATCTTATTTCTGCAGCCTAAACAAGTCCAGTTCCCTCAGCATCCCCTTCATGTATCAGGTACTCTAGGCCCTTCACCATTTTGGTAGTCCTCCACTGACTGGATCCTGTTTTGTCCACATAGCTCTTGAACTGGGGGACTCCAGACAGCCACGTTCCAGACGCCAGCTCTCAAGCATTGAGCAGAGGGGGGTGATAATGTCCCATGATGATCCCAATTTGCTGAATCGTGTGCTTTGTCTTACTTACAGAGAGAACAAACTGTCGTGAACAAACTTTAATTCAGGTCACTGAATTAAATATGTTAAATATACGAAATATATTAAATATACTGAGGAATATGAAGTCCCAGTACTGACACCAGTACACTCTGCATGTTATTGGCCCTCAGCCAGGTGTCAAACCATTGATTGTTACATTTTGACGTCAGTGGTTTAGCCTGTTTTTATTCCATTTAAGAGTCTTCATGTGTGACCCCACTACTTTAAATTTGGATCAAGAATCCTGTGGGAGCTGGTATCAAAAGCCTTACTAAAGTGAAGGTATACTACATCCCTGCTCCCCCCTCATTCCCACATGCATTCATCATGGAAGGCAACCAAGCTGGTCAGGCACGGATTACCCTCACTACATCTGCGCTGATTGTTCCTGTGATTACCTTTGTGCTGTTTACAGGGTTGGAAATGGATTCCAAGACTAGGTACTCCACCATCTTCCCACTGGCTGAGGTGAGACCAACTAGCTTAGAGTTCCCGGGCTTCTCTCTCCGCCGCCTTAAAAGCTGGCATAGTATTAGCACATTTCCCATTGGCAGGAACCTCCTCCAACTGCTGTAACTTTTCATAAATGAAGGACAATCCTAACATCGGCCAACTCTACCTGCATTTCTAGGTGAATCCTAGTAGAGTCAATGGATTCACGATCATTGAGCTTATCCATTCCTACCCCGTTGCTCCCTCACTATTTATTGCCTCCTTTCCAAAACCTTACTGATTTACACAGAGGTGTGGAAGCAAAATTTTCTTGGGAAGACTCAATGGTTAAAAAAAGACATACAGTACCTCAGCCTTTTCCATGCCATCCATCACTAAGTTGTCTCCCCCATCCGCCAATGGACCTGAGTTTTCTCTGGAATTTTTTTCTGGTTAATATATTTGTAACTTTGCATGTCCCTAGTCTTAGTTCCAGCTGAGCTCTGACCTTCCTGATTTCGTTTCTAAGTGCAAAACTCTTATACTCCTCCTTTGCTGCCCAACCCTGTTTCAATTTCTAACATGCTGTCCTTCATTCATAGGGAAGCTCTTTGTCTAGCAAACAGGGAAAGGCTTTCTGTCAAAATTCCTAGTCTAACTATGTGACAGATTCTCCTGCACATGTAAATCTACTACAGAGTTCTCAGTGAGCTTTTTTGAAAAATCACCTTTCCATGGTATACTTTTGTCATTTATGGCAGCTTCCAAGGGAATTCTTACTGACTTAGCAATTCCCTACACAAGCAAAATATTGTTTTGAAGTCCGAAGTCTAAACAGCTCTGCTGTTTACCTTCCCAGTCTCCTTCTGGACCCTGAACTCTTGTAAGGACTAGAAACCAAGTGGCCACACTCACCACACTCACCACACTCACCATCCACCAGGCCAAGTACAGGATTACCACTCACCAGCCCTTTAGTATTTGAATTAGACTTAATTAGTGACAGTTTTCTAGGAACTTCATGGATTGCATTCACTCACTGCATATGAGTTTTGCTGTCAGATGATTTCTGCAGAGCTGAAAACCCTTAGGAGATCAGGGTGAGGGAATAGGAGACTTCCTATTGAAGTTGAAACTCTCCTTTAGAGAGTTTTGTATGGCACACAGACTTGAAATTCTTGTTTCTTTGCTAAGTTCCATGCTTCAGTGTTCTGAACATGCTGGAGGGCTCTGAATATCCTGTATTCTGAGCAGAAAGGTGAAAGTCTAACCTCTTGCCTTCTCCCTTGCTTACCTCCTCCATTTACTTCTACTGCTAAGTAACTTTTTTGGCACTTATTTCCCCTCCTGGTCAGGAAAAAACTTTTTCAACTAAGGAATAGTCTTTCTAGTAAAACTGATCTAAAGAAGTGGGTCTTGATTCTGGTTTTTTAGTGTTAGAAACCTAGCAGAATGCTAGACCAGGTTGGATGGGGCCTTGAGCAACTTGGGCCTAGTGGAAGGTGTCCCTGCCCCTGGGCTGTGGAACTAGATGGTCTTTAAGGTCCCTTTCAACCCAAACCATTCTACAACACAATTTTATGATATGCTAAGATGGCACCTGTCCAGGAAAGAGCATCTCATTTTACTGACCTCATGACTATGTTACCAACTCTTCCCTTCAAAGCTTCCATTTCCCTGGTACTGAAAGTGCATCATTAGCTCAGTCCCCATCATTACTAATAATGCCTGGACAACTAATGTGAATTCCTTTGGCAGTGAAACAGAAACTATCTTTGTTCCACTCATACTTATTGTGTCTATGTTCACAGTGCAGAACTTAGGCCTGCCTGTGCTAAGTCATAAACACTTGCTGACATTCATACTTATTACAGGAATTAGCTGTTTAAAGCTGCAGGACAATCACCTCACCAAAACGTCAGTGAAGCCATTTTGAAAAATAAGTAATTAACTACAGTTTCAAGATTATATTCCTGAAAGACCATAAACCACTAGTTGGTTTGTTTATCCTAAAACAGAACTTCCATTTCATCTTCCTCTTGTGAAGGTGACAATCAATCTTCCTCTTGTTCCAAGTGTCCTTTCTACGAAAATTGTTCCGAAGCTGATGGTTAAGAACTTGCTTACAGCTAGATCAGGGTATCAGTTACATACTGAACACTCTCCAATCTCCTTAGCCTTGTGGGTTTTTGCTCTGGCCATAAATGAGAACATACTGCACTTTGCACTGGCAATTTCAAGTTTCACGGTATGCTAGTCCATGGTTCTGCATGAGGTAATTATTACAGAAAATCACAAAAAAAAGTAATAGACTCCTAAAAGAATTCCCCAAAGGAAGAACAAAGTAACTTAACCACCTAAGATGCTGATGCTGTGAAAAGTAAGGCATCAAGTTAGCATATCACTACAACTCTGCCAGTTTCTAGGAAGTTTGAAACAGTATTTCTGCTGACACGTGGATTCTGAAAGTAATTTTTACAACTAAGTTTAATTCCCCCATCATCTACTTCTATGATTCTGCTTAGAAGTTCTTTTCAAAACAATTTTATTTATCATCTTAACAGGTCATTTTCCCAGATGCCTCATCATTTGGTCCAACTGTGGAAGAAAAAACTCTATTCCTATTATTTTCTTATTTTCAAAAAGTGTAAGAAAGAAAATCACTTCATGTTAGCTTTGCAGATCTGCATTCCCGTATTCACCAATTCAGTTTTCAAATGCAGCAACCTCCTCTATCCTTCCACCTCAGACAGGTGTTCACAGCTCTTGGTCTGTAAGGTCTCTACACATCCATGAAGCACCCTTGTTTTGTAATAAGCTATTTATACCACCAATAGAGTCCTCCACCCTTCACCTGAGATCTGTAACTAAATGTTGGTTGCAGTAGCAACACTGCACAAGAAGTGATGTGTCCTGAGTATCCACATCCACAACTGTTCAGTCTGGAGCTTTTTTTTAATTTAAGAGACAGAATTCAATGCATTCTTCATGGATTTTCTAGATGTTAACTGATGACAAACCCCTATTTTCATAGAAATGTAACATTACTCCCTAATCACATTCTAAATTCCTCAAGTCACGGGTCCATTTGAGTTAACATCAGCTAATTTTCTTATGTCAAAATCATCTGAAGGCTTTCTAAAAAGCTGTTCTGCAGAACACCTCCTGGCAAATAAGCAGAACATGGGGTTTCAGAATGCCTCCTGTTTCTGCAGATCACTTGCCAAAATATTAAATCCCAAGTACTTACAACCTGGAAAATCTCTAAAAGGTTATCACATCGAAATCAGTTAATAAAACAGAAAGCTAAAGCTGAATGGTGAGAAATATTATGTGTTCTGTAAGGACCCGAGTGATGCTGATCAGCTTTGCCGAAGACATTTCATTAACTACTAACTGAACAGTTATCAAGCTTACTCTACTGTTCAGTCATCCTGTTTGGAGATCTAATTTAACAAAATTATATTAAAGTAAATTTTAGATAGACTAAAACTTCTATCTTCATTTCTGACTGACTGAGAGTCAAGGCAAGTAGAACACGCACAGGTGTGAACTCAAGAAGAGGAAGTTTTTTGTTATAATGGGAGCCCTTTGTTATGTTTCCTGTGTATATTTTACATCCTGTTGTGCCTTCATCACTGTTGTACCTTCTAATAGGATTAACAGTCATGAAAGAATTTAGGATTAGCAAACTGCTTCTCTATATACCCTCTAAGCAGAAAGCTCACGAGTTGTAAGGACTAACTAGCTGTAAACAAACAGCATGAAGTATCACATGCAGCATTCTCATCTGCACACAACTAGAAGTTAAAATCAATAGCTTCCAAATTAAAACCATAATTTAACTTAGAAAAAAATCTAGTTGCTAACATTCCTAATTCTTAAAGTAATAACAGATTGTTTCCATAAGTGACTGGAACTGGAACACAGAATGAGAACTGCAAAGTTTAGACACTATGGAGAGAAAAAAGATTTGATATTATAAAAGTAGTAATCGAGAAAGCATATTTACAGACTTGTCCTAATATCTGTGGGTGTTTTTTAATTTATCACCCCCATGTTCTTGGATACTGTCACAAAACAAGACAGAAACCAGTGCTAACCAGTATGTTTCTCTTTTTGAAGTTAATCACGCTCATATTTACTTTCAGGTATCTTCTTTTCCTGTTTAGTATTCTGCTAGAATCTACAAGTGGGCCTCTGGTCAGTGTGATACCTCAAACAGGCTGGATTTTAATACCAGAGCATAAAGTCCCAAACAATAGGCAGTTTCAAATGTATCAAGCTCCAGAGTAAACAGCTGTTGATTTATAACTAACTAGTTAAGCCTAACCTAAACACCAAACTTTTTTCATCTAGAATTGTGCTGTTGTGGGTGGTTCTTTGATAGGTACATTTTCTTGCTCAAAGTATCCCAAAAGTACTTAGACTTTGAACATGACATCTGGACTAAACAATTGTACTGCATAATATGGCTGTTTCTTAAAATAATTAAAACAGTAGATATTATTTTGTTAATAAAACTGGTGTTTAAAACTCAGATACTTGATTGATGGGACAAGGGGTAATGGTTTAAACTAAAACTGGGCAGATTTAGACTAGATTTAAGGAAGTAGTTTTTTACAATGAGAGAGTGAAACACTGGTTGCCCAAAGAGGTGGTAGGTGCCCCATCCCTGGAAACATTCAAGGCTAGGTCAGATGGGGCTCTGAGTGACCTGCTCTAGTTGAAGATGCCCCTGCCCATTGCAAGGGGGTCAGACTAGATGCTCTTTAAAGGTCCCTCCCAAGCCAAGCCATTCTATGATTCACAAAACAAGTGTCACAGGCACTCTACATGGAGCACTGAACAAGAGTAAAATACACAGCCTGCATTTGCAAAATGAAACCATGATTCTGAATGATTTTTACACATACATTACAATTTACTATTTTCTGGATTTTATTTAAAGCAGAAAATGAGCACACTATCAAATAAAGAATAGCTATTTCCTGATTTTTGAACCATGTACTAAATAACACTTTCTCAAATACATAAAGTATTAAGAACTTACCTAAGGCTGGTGCTATCCAGTATACTAGTGAGTAACTCAAAAATTTGTCATAGAAACAATCTGCATGTAATGAAAATGCCAGTGCTGGGTTAAATATTGCTCCTGTGAGATTTCCACCTGCAATAAGATGTAAATAATGTAAACAACATGAAATCAAACCATCTTTCTTATTATTAAATTAATATTGAAATGCACACACAATATTACAAGAAATGTGCACCCAGCAATAAAATGAATTAGCAGAAACAGTTTGAACAGATAACTTCAGAAGAGTTTATTTACCTGGTGACATGGTTAACAGTTTAACTGTTTCTTAATAGGCTTTAAAACATCTGAAGGGCAGACTATAACTTCCTTTATCTCTTTGTAGCAAATATTCTTTAAAGAGATAAGTTTGGCCAATACTGAATGTTTCTATTGATAAAACTAGAAGCTGTTTTACTAACAGTCTTGTAGAAGCAGGAATTACACAAATATTAGTAAAGAAGTACTGAGCCCTCATTACATTTCCATGTCACATGAAACACATATGCAAGAGAATAGAAAAATATCTGTCAAGCACTGACAGATATACTGACAGTTGACCTCTGTACTTTATTATAAGAACACTAATATCACCAATGTATAGAACGTTATCATATGGTATAATAACTGTGGCAAAAGCCTTCACAATCATTCTCTATGCTGTCTGAAGAAAATAAAAGCAAATGCCACCCCATGTCTTGTAAAAGGAAGCCAAGCATCTTTCCTTGCCTCTGATTTCAGATGTAAATGAACTTGCCTAAACATATTCTAAATAACTAGATCCAAACACATTACACTGTGAAGATTAAACTGTAATTTCACTGCAGATGAACCTGGAGCTAAGTGTGCTTAATTCTGATGTATGTTGTTCCTCTCATTCCAATCCTGCAGAAATAGCATTACTCACAGCAAAATTATCTGTATTTCTGTACTATAAGTTACTAACCACCCCATATCTCTTTTATCTATTAATCTATTCCCATAAAATATAATTGTGTCTATTTAATTCTTTAGAGCTTATTCTTGATTTTTCCCCAAATAAGCTAGTATGAGCTTTGAACTTACCCTTTGTACAAGTACCATGCTGCTGCAATCCTTGTTTGCCATGAGCATGCAATCATTTATCCAAAGTTTTAGTACAGTCTTTGTCATTGTCTTCTTCTGTTTTCTCTTTCTATATTCTCCTTATTATTTCTTTTACTGTTATTACAGTTCAGGAAAGTTTTTTTACCTACTCAGTTGACTGTGGTTTTACACTTGTTCTCAAGAGCATCTCAGGTTTGTTGTGCAGTCTGTTATTCTGCACAATGACACATTAGCAACGTCCATGGTTGCCAGGAAGCCCAGTTACAATAATTTACTTTGCTTTAATCTATTTATGAATTAACTGCTTCTGCTTTTATATCAACAAACACACAGTTGAAAGTAGAATTTCACTCTCAGGATGTGGTTGCTGAACACTGAACATTAGATAAGAGTTTTAACTGCTGTATTTCTTCAATATTCATTACTAATAACTATTGGAATATCAACCATAGGCCAGGGGCACTAGTATAATCTTATTTAAAATTATATATTAAGCACCTCAGTCTGTGTACCAGAAAAGACAAATTATTTTATGGCAAAAGAAATATAGCCTCTTTGATGTGGTACATATAAGAACTTTAAAAGGGGAAGGAATGTGTGCTCCACACAATGCATGAGAAAATATTGGAGCTTTTGTGTACAGTATGTACTGCTATAAAAATTTACTCTGTGTAAGACTAAATGTAGAAAAAAAATCCAAATGTTCTTAACTATGAAAAAGTGCAAGAAAAACCTAAAGAAACAGCTTGTAATTTTGATAATACTATATAACCTGATGTTATTTGTTGGAGTGAGCTGCATGGCATACCTAAGTACCTTGTATTGGTACACACAACACTGACCTACCAAAATTTGTTTTTTCCAATAGCTCCATTTATTCAACAATAAAAATACAATTTAATGTTTTTGAGCCTTGTCTCTGCATCAATACATTTAGAAGGATGTAAGCCACAGGGATGTGGCTATCCTCCAAAATTTTACCCAAACTAAATTGGAGTCCCTTCTTACAGTCCCTTTTCAGACAGCAATCATTCCCCATACAGGATACAGCTACCAAACTCAGAGCATAATTCAGGGAATGAAATACAATATACTATGTATAGGATGTTTTTTTCTAACGTTTCTGGTTCATTCATAACTGTAACAGACACAGGTCCTGAAGGCACAATGCACTTTGTTTTTACAATCACAGTATAAAAAGAAATCATTATCATAAATTTTATTTTGTAAATTTAATGCACCAGAATTGCTAGCTAGAACCCTCTATCTGCCAAATTAAGTTTAAAAAAATCATTATTCATTCAATACTCTATTTGATAGTTTTGTAGAAAAAAGGAAGAGTGTTACCAAGTTGCCTAAATTAGCATTGCTTTGCCTAAATTTGTGCTGGTTGCCTGGCCCTTTGGTGCTGGGTATGCAAGAAAGATCCATTCCTCTTAGAGAGGCACTCAAAGTCCTTAAATATATATTTATATATACATATACATATATTTAAATATATAAACAGTAAACAAAGAGGTGTAGAAGATTTCCTGAGAATTACAAGAATTACCCAGCCCAACCAAGTTTTGCATCTGTCTGCCTTCACAGCCTGTAAATGAGAACTTGGCCTGCTGGAGGCCACTGTCTGTGACACCTGATTTGTAAGTCACTCTTAATGCATGTAAGAAACTGAGGTGGAACAGACCTCTCTACGCCATGAGATCCACAGATTTACAGGATTTATGCACCAGACATTGTCCATGACTGCCCTTTGCTATTGCCCCAGTTACTTGCCATGCTGTCAGGATGCTGTGGGAAGGGGGTTCCAATGAGCAGCCCTCAAAATGGAGGAGTTAACCTTCCACTAGAAAAAAAGATCTGTTACAGTGCAAACCTCTGACTTCATCACAGTAAGAAATTAATAGCAGCAGCCTGCACCCTCACTTACTGTGTAATAGCTCAGTGATAGGAATCAGGGTTTATGCCTTCCTCTGCTTCAGAAAGCTTCAATCCACAACTTAGGAGTGGATAGTAAACACCAGGCTCATGCATGCCTGCTGCAGGGGGAAGATAACACTTCTCATCTTTCCTTTTGAACCTGAGTGTACAGCAAACATGCAAACCTTAGGAAGCTTGGAGCAGAGCGAACAAGAAAAAATTAGTTTTTCCACTAAGTATGGCATAAAACTAGGTTCAGGATCTATTCTCTGGAATACCCATGTATTTTTATAGTAGACTGGATTCCAGATTAAAAGAAATGCAAAGAAAAATGTCTAGGTAGCACAGGGTACAGACAGAAGGTGCAAAAGAAAGAGGTCTGGGTGCAGCAGGTCTGAGGCTTCCTAGAAGAACATGCAGATCAATTGCACTGGAGAGTTTAACAAGTCCAAGTTTATGACATGGAAGGGGAAGTGGTACACACCCTTCTCCTGCTGGAAAAAGAGAGAAGCCTGGCCAACAACACCGGGAATGAATTCTATGTTTGAACTAGGGAAGAGAAAGGCAATGTGATATATATTATGTTATATGAGTATTTTCTAAGCAGGAAAAGAATGTTAAGAATCAGGAATGCAGATTTCTGTGCTTGTAGAAGAGAGAGGATAATATTTGGCTATACTTTCACTGAGCAACTCAGAAATATATTTAATGTCCTCAAATGCACCTTGCTTCTGCCTTCAAAAGTTAATTTTGAAAAGTAGTTCAAATTGCTAAGTTAATTCTCAAAATTCCCCATGGACTTATTTTACCTGTTAGGCATTAGCTAATTTCAGCTAAAAATAATGAGTAAAGGTTTTTTCATTACTACATCTGAAAATTTGACTGTACATTGTTCCAGATGCTATTATGTTAAATAGCATAATAAGGTAAACCTTTTGGACACGACATCAATGACACCACGGATGTTTGCAGATAAGAGATCTCCCTCTCTCATAAAAGGATTTGATAATTCCCTAGATAACTTTTTGTGTGGTGGGGGCGATAGCACAATCAAGGAGTTCCGTAACTCACTCTCTCACCTCTTCAAACTGTGGAGTTCTTCTTGCCAGTAGGACTCAAGTGACCTAACAACTCTCGGCACTTCACTAGGGACAAAAGGGAGCATCAACAGCCGGAAGAAAGAAGTTCAGACTCACTCCCTTCACCTCTTCCCTCCCACTGCTCCAGAGAGGATGCGCAGGTGAGAGTGTCCCAGCTCTGGGAAGCATGAGGTGACAAACAAGTAGAGGCAAGGCTATGGACACACACGGTATTACAGACGCAGGAGGCTCTAATACAACACCTACTTTTTCTTTCTTTACATTTGGTTTCAGGAGGCATTACTTTATCATTTCTGTATGCAGTCTACAAATAACCATTCCCGTTTCTGATTTAAGGAAGTAGTTAATTAAACTGCACTGATATGAATTATGCATTATCTAAATACAGAGCTTCCCTACTGCCGGTCTGTACCCTGCTGTTGCACCATCAGCACTTTTTCCTGATACAAAGAGCGGTGCTCTCTCGCAATGCCACTTGGAAATCAGAGCACATAGTACGAAATCTCTCACGCTGTATAAATAGTCGGGTTATGAAACAATCCTTCACTGAGATATCTTAATACTTAACCATATTTACTTGTGCATTTGACATGTTTTTAAATTCATAACTCATTTTATTCTTAACCCTGCACCTGTCTGGAATGCAACCAGGTAAACTTTATATAAACTCCAAATGGACTCTGCATATGTAGGACAATAAACTTTCCTTGATGATATTTTTTTTTAATCTACGAAAAAGAATTTTGCTTCTTAACCTTTAAGAAAATAATAAAACCCCCTTCTATTACAACTTAATTGCAGGAACAGAGGAGAGAAAAAAAAAAAAAGAAAATACTAACCTGCATACACGAGCATGGTGATGAGAAGAGCAATCAAATGGACTCTGTATTTGGGATTAACACTTTCCGATCGCAGGACTGCCAGCTGGAAAACGACAGAAAAGAGCAGTTCTATGCAGAACGCCTGCATCTCTGTAGTCTGCATGGGGCTGCTGCAGCCCTGTGAGAGTGCTCCAAAATGTGGCTCTGCCATCTCTAGACTCCAAATAAAGTGCATGAACACCCTGGCAAGCACTGCAGCCACGAACTGAGCGGCAATCTTGAGTCCCCCCATCCTGAGGGATGTCCTGCCGCCCCACATGGGCTGCAGGGTCCCGCAGGGATTGCAGGTGCTGCCGGCCAGGGTGAGGCCGTGCAGGACGGTGAAGCCGTAGGTGAGGGTGAGGGCGGTGTGCGGCTTCGGCTCCACACTGCCGAGCAGGCTGAGCTCGTTCGTGCAGGCGCAGATCTGGAAGGTGCTGAACATCTCCACGAGGAAAGCGAAGAGGCGCGGGTGGGAGCGCAGCCGGCGGCGGGTCAGCCTCCTGCACAGCCCCACGGCCACCACCACGCCGGACATCAGCAGCAGGGAGCTCCCGAGCCCACCGACAGCCATGCCCGGAGCTTCACAGGCCCGAGGGCTCGCAGAAGGTCCAGCCCCACCACCTGCGGGGAGAAAGAAAGCAGGAGAGGGAGGGAAAATGCCCACCCTTGCCCTCCGAGGCAGGAGCCAGCTTCTGTCCCCACCTGCGAGGCGCCTGACTCACCCTCGGCTTGGCGGAGCAAAGGGCAGAGGTGAGGGCAAGGGGATCCCGCTTCCTGCCAAGGCAGAGGTTAGAAGAAGGAAGGTCCGTCCCTTCGGTAGAAAACCGCGGGGCGGGGAGGGGGCTCAGCTTCCCTTCAGCCCCTCCGCCGCGGGACGGACGGAACACTCCTCTCGCCCTCAGCCTGCCGCTGGGGAGGGCGGGCCGCCGCTCCCGCCCGCGGAGGGGACGGGAGGCGAGGCACTCCCGCGGCGGGCTCTGTGGCGCGGCCCCTCCGGGGCTGCGAGCGCCGCTCCAGCACCAGCCCCGCGCCGGCCGCGGGCTCCGGGCGCGCCGCCCCCTCCGGCGGGCGCTGCGGCACCACCGCGCATGCGGGCGGGCGGGCGGGCATGGGGCAGGGGCGCTGAGGGGGGGGCGGCGGGGGAGCGCCGCGGGTGGGAAAGCTGCGGTGTCACCGCCAGCTCTGCGGGCCCCAGCTCGGGCTGTCCGCGAAAGTCGTATTGCTTACCCCGCTCTGTGCGACAAGCCAATAATTACACGCTCGGGAGAGAGAGAGACGGATTGATTATTTCAGAGTTGCACAAGCCCGGGTGCCGGTGGCGTTCCACAAACAAGCACGCCAGCTATCAAAACTTTTCTTAGTATTTATACATTTTAGCAAACAAAGGCATTACAGAATCACAGAATCGATTAAGTTAGAAAATACCTCTGAGATCGTCGAGTCCGACCTATGACCAAACACCACCATGTGAACTAGACCATGCACGAAGTGCCACGTCCAGTCTTTCCTTAAACACCTCAGGGGACGGTGACTCCACCACCCCCTGGGCAGCCCGTTCCAATGTCTAACTACCCTTTCAGGGTAATTAGCAACAAGGCTGGTGAAGGGACTGGAGCACAAGTCCTATGAGGAGCAGCTGAGCTGCGGCTGTTTAGCTTGGAGAAGAGGAGTCTCAGGGCAGACCTCATCACCCTCTACCTGAAAGGAGGTTGTAGCCAGGTGGGTATCAGTCTCTTCTCCCAGGCAACCAGCAGTAGGACAAGAGGACACAGTCTTAAGCTGCACCAGGAGAGGTTTAGGTTGGACATTAGGAAGTAGTTCTTCACAGAAAGAGAGACTGGGCATTGGAACGGGCTGCCCAGGGAGGTGGTGGAGTCACCGTCCCCGGCGGCGTTTAAGAAAAGGCTGGACGTGACACTTAGTGCCATGGTCTAGTTGACAAGGTGGCGTTAGGTCATAGGTTGGACTCGATGATCTCAGCGGTGTTTTCCAGCTTAGTTGATTCTGTGATCCTCATGTCTCACCTAAACCTGCCCTGGCGCAGCTTAAGACTATGTCCTTTTGTCCTGTCACTTGTTACCTGGGAGAAGAGACCAACCCCCACCTGGCTAAAACCTCCTTTCAGATAGTTGTAGGGTGTGATAAGTTCCCCCCCAAGCCTCCTTTTCTCCAGGCTAAACACTCCGAGCTTCTTCAGCCACTCCTGCTAAGACTTGTTCATTGGCTACAGATTACATAGTTCCCTTATTAATTAGTACCCTATTTCTATTGGTTAATGATTCTCTCACTTCTCTTGCTAATTAGTCCTCATGCTCAGCCTTTCTCTTCTTTTGTGTCAGTGGGTTTCTTGGGGTGGTGGTCTGTGACTTGGTAATCATGATCTTCCTCTGCAGGAATTACTTTTTACTCAGTTGGAGCTGATTCAGCACAGTTGCCGAGTTGTCTTTATTAGTTTCTTCCTTATCTTGGGAGTTCTGTCAAATGTCCTTGTGGCCTGTAAATTTTGTGTTCTTTGTGTCCACTATCAGTGGTATATCCTTCTCGCCAAGCTTTGTTAACCTCCCCCTAGGTCTTAGGTCATTGAAACATGTCGAGCCCTAAATCCTTAACAATGTAATTCTACCCACAAGTAATTTGTTTTTCTAACCCCTGGACATTGCTTAGAGCTTGCTTGTTAGCTGCTCTCAGTTTCATGCATTAAATCTCCCTTGTTGTTGATTAGGCTTAAAAGTATACAAAGATGAAACATCAAAGAACACCCTTTCTTAAGAAAATGTTAACATTTTCCACATTTTGCAACAAGAGGGTTTTCTTTCCTGTGTTCTTGGGAACCTGGCATTGCAAAAAGTAGGTGTACAGGTTGCTTCAGTCTCTTCTTCCCACTCCCTCACTGGGAGAAGGCATTTGACAGAAAGCCCAGAAGAGGCAGGTGGTGATTCTTGGGCTTCTCCAGTGGAAGTGATGCTAAAAATAGGCATCTTCCTCATCCTGCAGCATGTGGTAATGCTGGCTTTCATAGCAGGTCCCAAATGGGACTCGGGACAGTCCTGGAAAAATAGGCATAGCCTCCTATAATTCTTTGAACCTGGTAGCTGAGAAGGGTGAGTCCAGCATGAGGTAATTGGGAAATGCTTCCTGTCCCATTAGGCTGGGGCTGAGTTTTCCTCAAGTCTCTCCCTGCAGTGCTATTTTGCAGTATTTGGAACAGGTTGTACCTCTCTCCAGAAAGTTTTTCTTGTGAGGAGAGAGAAATAAATGCCCAGGCTCTGAGCACATCAATGGTTGTGCCATGTGTCCCTGGGTGTACCACGTTCACCCTAATAAAATAAGAATAAATGTATTTTGTGGTACTTATTTTCCTACTTTTCATCCTCTTAGTCACTGACTGGTGATGTGTTTTTAGGAGTGCCCAAACCCTGATTTTAGGAACTCTAAAACTGCATCGCAGGGGCACCTGCAAGGAGGGGCAAATGCTGACTATTTTTCCAGAATTCCAGTATTTTTGCCACAAGGTGGCATCAATGACAGCTTATCAGACCTCGCAGGAATGACTTTTGCCTGGTCAAGGTCCGCGTATCAATCAATACAGTGTATTTCTTGTAAGGAGGCAATACACAAATATGCTTCCAAGCAACAAAAGCAAACCCTTACTTTTAGTTGAAGGTCAGGCTACCATAAAGATCAAAGTTGATAAACACAGAATTGTTCTCTAGGAGGGAGTAACGTGACAAGCTCTTCCTCATTTCGTTAAAGGTAGGACAATTGGGACAGCTGGGCTTAAGAAGTTTGTGGATAGAAGAATATTTGGAAGGCTCAGTTTCCCAGAGGATCATTTGGCTTTAAGAAATAGGGATAATTTAACAGAAGAGTGGAAAATCCAGGAGTTGAACAGTGATAATGTGAAGAGAAGAAAAGAGAAAATGACAGAGTGGTTAATATTTGGTTTTTATTGTTTGTAGAAGATTAGATGTCAAGAAATGTGAGTGAGGCAAGGCAGCAGCCATGACTGTGTTAAGTCATTACAAAAGTCCCAGTGCACCTCCATGAAAACCATGCATTGAAGCAATTGCTTTTCTCAGCAGAGGTGTTCTGTAGCTGTAATACAGGAGAAAAAAACTCAGTTATATCCTTAATGTATTTAAGATTTTGGGTGAAATTAAGGAATGTCCTGTTAGAAGTAAGTATCAGAATAAGAAAACTGGCTTTTAGTATATACAGAGAGAGACTCCTCTGTTTTGTTTGTTTATTTCTCTGAGCATAGGTTTATGCACTCAGTTTTGAATTCATTGGTGACCATGTACACAATTATGCATGTGGCCAGCACTAACTTAGAAAAATTATCTTCAATTTTTCTTTCCTACCAGTGGTATTGTGGTTTTTATTAAATTCTTGTATTAAGGTGACATGTAGAGACTACAGTGTGTTGGTCTAGGAGCTCTCTTGCACATGCTAAAAGTGAATCTCAGAAGAGCTTATTTTCCAAGGAGATAAAGCAGAAAAATGCTGGTAATAGCTTTACTTTTTATTTGGGAATTTAGTATTCCTTTACTTACACAGCTAAGCACAGCCATATGTGTTGTTCCTGTTCTTGCAGGTTGCCAGAGAACATACAAATTATTGCCAGTCTCTTTTTGAGCCTTGGACAGTTACTTGTGCGTGCGACCAGTCATGAATTTGTCATTTAAAAACAGACTAATTGTTTGATCCAAGAGCACACTCTTGATGTGGATTACTGAAGTGTGGATTGGAATTGATTGCCTTTTTTTTTTTTTTTTTTTTTAGTATAATTGGTGCCAATGACAGGAATAAAGTCAAAGAAGCTGTAGTTATCTGTATGACAAGCTGCAGATATATTACCTTCCTGGTGTACATATAACTGTATTTTTTGACCACCAGAGGGTAGTGTCATTCCAAACAGTTGCTTTTGGTTTGCTCCTATAGCAGGTTTTTTTTGTGTTTTGCCACTGAGAGGTGAGAATATAGATCTTCTATGTGCAAGTTCAAGCTCTTAATTTTGTAATTTGTAAGAATGAGTGTTCAAGCCTGAAGTGTCTCTTAAAATTTATTTTAGACTATAAAGTTTCTTGATACTGAATGAATTGGGATCATCAGTTTCTTCTTCCTTGTGGCATTGCTGTCTCTGTGCCTCATTTTAGGTTGTCCCTATGTCCCTCTGTGTACAAGATTCTCTCATGCTTCTGCCTGCTCTATACCAGGACATAGACAGTTTCCCTTTCCTGTGAAACATTCCATTTTCTTTTCTCCTCTCCTCATTTCAGAGTCCCTCCACATCTTTTTCTCCCATTTTCCCTTCCATGCATATCAGTCCTTGAATTTTCCTTCCTATTTGTGGGTACTCCTATTTTCCTTCTCTGCCCAAGCCCTTGTATTTCCTGCTTTTTCTGTATGCAGTTAACTGTTCTTAGCTCTGTATATGGTTTCAACCCCCTTCCTTCCTAAAATTCCCTCATCTACTTCCTTTTCCTATGGGAGGCTGAGTCATTCAGAGGGTATCAACATGCCAAGAATTCTTGGATGGGTTTTTCAGGGGTGAAATTGGGCATTATCATGCTGGAAAATACTGGGAAACACTTCCGTCTACATTAATGTTAATGAATAATTGCAGAGGAGCCAAATCCATAGTTTAAGTAATTATATACCAGGGAATAAATGTGTTCCTGTTTTCTCTGTTGTGGTTTAGTTGGTTTAGTAGATTTCCACTGACATTTAAATCTTTATTGGAAATTGATTAGATACAGAAAGTAGAAGTAGTCATAGTGCCTCCAAACAGAAAATCCTTGTTGAGCACAGGCCCAGGCAAGCTCAGGCACAGCTTCAGTAAAGCTTTTCTTAGCAAGCAGCTGCAGAGGCTTGGGACATTTCTTCTTTCTGGCTGCTTTTCACAGCAGTTGGAGGACAGTGCCAGGATTTGCACCAGAGGGCTGTTGGAAGCTCTGCTGTACCTGTACTGGTGTGCACACAGTAATCCCA